GAGGACATGGAGGACAAGGAAGAGGCGGTTTCAATAACCACTCTAACAACTTCAACAATGGAGAAAGAAGTTGGATTCCACAAGAAACAAGAGGTCATGGAAGAGGAACCTCGTGGTCGAGGAGCAATAAATCACAAGTCAAATGTTTCAACTGCAACAAGATTGGTCATTACGCAACCGAGTGTAGATTCTCGAAGAAGGTGGAAGAGAAAGATAATTTTGTAGAGGAAAAAGGTGGAGACGAAGAAGCTTTGGTACTCGCGTGTCAAAACGAAGTTGAAGATAAAAGAAATAAATGGTGCTTGGACACTGGTGCAAGCAACCACATATGTGGCAATCAAAGCATGTTCGTAGAGATTAATGAAGTGACAACTGGTGATGTATCATTTAGAGATGACTCAAAGATATCGGTCAAAGGCAAAGGTAAAATTCTCGTACACTTGAAGAATGGCAGTCATCAATTCATATCCAATGTCTATTATGTGCCTAACATGAAGAATAATATTTTGAGTTTGGGACAATTATTAGAGAAAGGCCATGACATCCACTTAAAAGAACATAGTATTTTCTTAAGAGAATGTAGTCATAACTTGATTGCTAAGGTGCCTATGTCAAAAAATAGAATGTTCCTCTTAAACATTCAAAATGACGTAGCAAAGTGTCTCAAGGCTTGCTATACCGATTCTTCATGGATATGGCATCTACGATTCGGGCACCTCAACTTCGATGGTTTAAAACGTTTGTCGAAGAAAGAGATGGTGAGAGCCTTTCCTAGGATCAACCACCCATACCAACTCTGAGAAGGATGTTTAATTGGGAAGCAATTCCGAAAAAGTTTTCCAAAGGAATCAACGTCAAGAGAGACAAAGCCACTAGAGCTCATATACACGGATGTCTGTGGACCAATCAAACCCAACTCGTTTGGTAAGAATAAATACTTTCTCCTATTTATTGATGATTATTCTAGAAAAATATGGGTTTATTTCTTGAAGGAGAAGTCAGAAGTATTTGACAACTTTAAGAAGTTCAAAGCCCTTATGGAGAAAGAAAGTGGTCTTTCCATCAAGGCCATGAGATCTGACCGATGAGGAGAGTTCACTTCAAATGAGTTCAACAAATATTTTTAAGACCATGGAATCTGTCGCCCACTGACTGTGCCAAGATCGCCTCAACAAAATGGAATAGCAGAGAGAAAGAATCAGACTATACTTAACATGGTACGAAGCATGCTCAAGAGCAAGAAGATGCTGAAGGAGTTTTGGGCCGAAGCAGTGGCATGTGCAGTTTAATTGACAAATCGTTACCCAACAAGAAGCATGCATGAAAAGACACCCCAAAAAGCATGGAGTGGAAGGAAACCTGGGATCTCTCACCTCAAAGTATTTAGAAGCATTGCCTATACCCATGTTTCAGATGAAAGAAGAACAAAGCTCGATGATAAAAGTGAGAAGTATGTGTTTGTGGGTTATGACTCAAGCTCTAAAGGGTACAAGCTTTATAACCCAAATAGTGTAAATATCATCATAAGTTGTGATGTGGAGTTTGACGAAAAATATTATTGGGATTGGAGTGCTCAAGAAGACAAGTATGATTTTCTTCCTTACTTTGAAGAAGAAGAAGAAATGGAACAACCAATGATATAAGAACATATTAAACCACCTTACTCACTGACACCAAGGTTGGATAAAACAAGTTCAAGTGAGAAGACACCGCGACTAAGGAGCATTGAAGAGCTTTATGAGGTAACCGAACACCAAAACGACATTAACCTCTTTTGTCTTTTTGGTGATTGTGAGCCTCTAAGCTATCAAAAAGTCGTAGAAAACATAAAGTGGAGAGACGCCATGGACGAAGAAATCAAGTCTATCACGAAGAATGATACATGGGAACTTACTACACTTCCACAAGGACATAAAGCAATTGGAGTAAGATGGGTGTACAAGGCAAAGAAGAATGCAAAAGGAGATGTGGAGAGATACAAAGCAAGATTGGTGGCGAAAGGCTATAGTCAAAGACAAGGAATTGAATATGATGAGGTATTTTCTCTTGTTGCTCGTCTTGAAACTATTAGACTGATCATTTCCTTGGAAGCCCAAAATGAATGGAAGATCTATCAAATGGATGTGAAATCAGCCTTCTTGAATGGTTCTCTCGAAGAAGAAGTTTATATCGAGCAACCACTAGGCTATGAAGTGAAAGGGCAAGAAGAAAAAGTCTTGAAGTTGAAGAAGGCATTATACGGTCTCAAGCAAGCACCGAGAGCTTGAAATGTTCGAATCGACAAGTACTTTCAAGACAAGAACTTCATCAAGTTCCCATATGAGCATGCACTCTATATCAAAGCGCAAAGTGGAGATATTTTAATTGTGTGCTTGTATGTAGATGACTTGATTTTCACAGGGAACAATCCAAGCATGTTCGAAGAGTTCAAGAAAGACATGTCAAATAAATTTGAGATGACATATATGGGGTTCATGGCATATTATCTTGGCATCGACGTAAAGCAAGAAGACCAAGGAATTTCCATCACCCAAGAAGGCTATGACAAAGAAGTCATTAAGAAGTTCAAGATGAATGATGCCAATCCAGTTGGCACCCCGATGGAATGTGGTAGCAAGTTAAGCAAGCATGAAAACGGGGAGAATATGGATCCAACTCTTTACAAAAGTTTGGTTGGAAGTCTACGTTACTTAACAAGTACAAGGCCAGATTTTCTCTATGTTGTAGGAGTTGTAAGCCGATACATGAAAGCTCCAACAACAACTCACTTCAAGGCGGCAAAGAGAATCCTTAGATACATTAAAGGTACAACTAACTTTGGCTTGCACTATTACTCTTCTAATAATTATGAGATTGTTGGCTATAGTGATAGCGATTGGAGTGGAGACTTGGATGATAGGAAGAGCACTACTGGTTATGTGTTCTTTATGGGAGATACTGTTTTCACTTGGATGTCAAAGAAGCAACCAATAGTCACACTATCAACTTGTGAAGCCGAGTATGTCGCCGCCGCATCATGCGTTTGTCATGAAATTTGGCTAAGAAACTTGTTGAAAGAGTTAAAAATGCCACAAGAAGGTCCAATGGAAATATGTGTTGATAATAAATCAGCAATTACTTTGGCAAAGAATCCAGTCTTTCATGAAAGAAGTAAGCACATCGACACCCGTTACCACTTCATAAGATAATGCATTGAGAAAAAAGAGGTGAAGTTGAAGTATGTAATGTCTCAAGATCAAGCTGCCGACATTTTCACCAAGCCACTAAAGTTGAAAACTTTTGTGAAGCTAAGGAGTATGCTTAGAGTCACAAATCAAGTTTAAGGAAGGATGTTGAAAATATTAAACTTGATTTGGGCCTGAATTTATTAATTAGTTTTTGGGCTTAGTTATTTTGGACTTAAGTAGTTTTCTAGAGAATTCTTGTAATATTTGGAATCTCTAAATATTTCTTATAATTGTAATATTTTCTAGAATAGTCTTTGGATCTCTAGAGTTGAGAACTCTCTAGAATTAGTGTGTCTAGAGTTCTCCTTAGAGTACTATAAATAGAGATGTAATCCCACACATTTGTATAAAGCAAAAATATAAAGTTCTTCTCCTCCATAAAGAATTATCCTACTTATCAAATTTATATTCAAACCTTCAATATTCCCACACACTTCTCCTTAACGTAAAAGGTCTTATTTCCAACAATGTAATAGACGTCATGATTTCCCATGTAAGATTTTCATTTCCTAATGAGTTAGAAAGACTAAGGAGAGACGACAATGGTATGATCCTACTTCAACAATGTAGAAGAGCGATACTGATAAGGCAATAAGAGTCGTATGATCAGAGTATCATTGGATATACTGGCGTGATCCTTGTTATCGGTTCTTCCTTGTGATCTATCTTAGGTTTGTTTTTGAGTTTTTCTTTTCTTTTATGTCCTAGAGTTAAATTTAAGAGAAAATTTATTATGATTTGTCAACTGTGGTGTGGACTATTTGGTCTGCTTGCAATCATAAGCTTTTCACTAGATCGTCAACTAATGTGAAAGAGTTGGGGAATAAGAGTATTTTCTTGGTGTGGACTTGGTTTCATCACAAAATCCAGTTGAACTCTCACTGATTGACTTCAGAATCTTATCATGTGTCTAAGTCAATAGTGGATCGAGATTTCTGATCTTGCCCTTGGTTCTCAAAGGATTTGTTATTGCTTCTTTGAGACTTTAGTCTGCTTTGGTGATCCTATTGTCTGAGATCTATATTAGTCTTGTTTGGGTGGTGTCATGTGGTGTGACTTGGTGTGTAACTCGTTTTTTCTCCTTTTTGTTGCTTCTTGTAGTTGTTTGTAGTGGTTTTGTTTCTTTCTGTATTGCTTTGTTCTATTTATTTCTATTTTTCATGTTTTGTTGCTGGCTTGGCACTCCTTATGTCGTTAATTAATTATTTTTGTATTAGTGAACTTTCGCCTCTCTTTTAGTTATTTATTATTTGGCCATTAAAAAAAGGTAGATCTGTTCTAGAAGGATACCTGATCAAAATAGTTACACGATGCACAACTGTGAGATCATTCTTTGAGGGATCCTCTCACATCCTCTCTCACAGTTGTCTAAAACAAAGGTTATTAGTCCTAAAAATCTATGAAATTCTACTATAAAATTTAATGAAGACATCACATCAAGATACACACTATTTTAATCTTAAAAATCTTCCCACTTTAAACTTTCACTAATTTAAGGGTCAGAGTGCTTGAATGTACCACACTATCGTACTAGAAAAGAAGTCAAGACTTTCAGGAACACAAAGAACTCTAGACCTTCTATAAAATTCATTAACTTATCTCTCAGTTCACACCCATATTTGTGAAGAGGATGGACCCTTGGTGGATAAGTTATATTGATTGATGCATGTGTGTGATTGTAGTTTAAGCCAAAGAAACCTTATCTGTAGGAACGTGAGATGGTTGTAGACAAAAACATTGAAGAAAAAGGCATTTGATAAAATCATTACTTACCATCCGTTCCAAAAGTCATGGGCCCTTTGAGTGGCAATAATATCTCCACTAGTATTTGCCAGTGGAACAAAACTAATAGTAAGAACATTCAACCCAATAAACCCATGTTGTACTCCCTGCACTTACAAAAATGGTTTTTATAAACATAATAAAAGATGATAAGTAAGGTAATTTCAAATTAATATCATCATAAATTTTACCTTATATTTCTTGTTATACAATCTTGTAGCTGAAGCATGTGCTAACAACATATGATGTGCTGCTAAATACGGCTCAGTTGAAGAATTTCCTCTTGAGCAGTTTGCTACTGAGAAAGGAGAACACCTCTGAGGTGGTCCTAATCCAACACCATAGCCAAACATTGCAAAAATATTAACCTCATTTACTGTGGTCCAATACTTAACTCTATCACCAAATTCTCTGAAGCATACATCAGCATAAGCTGTGAAATCATACACAATTTTTTTGCTAATCCATCCTTCGTATTCGTCTTCAAGTGTTTGTGGTAAATCCCAATGGTGCAATGTAACATGTGGTTGGATCCCATGGCTTATTAGTTCATTGATGAGGTTGTTGTAATACTGTAATCCTTTAGGATTGACTGGTCCTTTTCCATCTGGTAACACATGATAACAAGATACTGTTAGACAAATATAGAATGAAGTTGAGTTTGGTATAATCAAACTTTTGATGATTTTACCTGGAATAAGTCTTGACCATGATAATGAAAATCTATAGGCATCTAAACCCATATTGGCCATGAGTTGCACATCTTCCTGGAAAATTCAAGTTCTAATATTCACTTAATGCAAAGTAATTTTTTAGGTGAAAAATACAATATAGTTACGTACCTTATATTTGTGATATCCATCGCATGCAACATCTCCATCTCCTTTGTACATATTTGCTGAGAATTATATATTAATTTAGAAATGAATTACAATATATTAAAAATGAAGTATATGTTAGCAAAACCAAAGGACAATATACCATTTCCAGCATGGGAAAATGTATCCCATATGCTTGGTTTCCTACCATCTTCATTGGCTGCACCTTCAACCTTCTCAATCATAAGAGTTGAGAGATAATAATTATTTTTCAATGACCACACTTATTATAATCATATTATTTCTCAAAAGCTACAGTAGCTTTTTTATTATAATTATAATCCTTTTTTTCTCTAATTATTTATAAAAACCAGAACCAAAGATAGAGAAGAAGAAACCTGGTAGGCAGAGGTTGATGCACCAAAGACAAAGTGAGAAGGGAATTCATCTCTGCTCAAACTGTAAGCACCAGGAAGGAGGAAAACTACTACTAACACTGTCCAAGCAAAACACATATTGGGTTTTGCTTCTTCTTTCAGCTCTATTTTTGTGATTGTAAATCAAGTTTATATGTATTTCATTTCTATATGAATTTGTTTTTTCTTTTTATCAATAGTAAAGAGGATCTTTACTTTATTCTAGAGCTTGCTTTACATGCAAGGTCTATCTAATGCCAAGTGTTATGTCTTTTTATCAACATTTTAATGTCTATTAAGAAATCATAGACTTTTGAATAAAGTTTAATAAATGTCAAGTGAATTCAATTGTCCATATATTTTTTATAAATGAAAATTGTTAAGTTTGCTTTTATAAAAAAAAATGATACAATAAAAATTCATAATTTACTAAAAATTCGTATTGTACAAACATGCAATGATTAATAGAAATGAAAGTAGATTGTGACATGTATAAAGCAAAATTTTACACATAGAGGGAACTTTGGAATTTAGACACGTCATCTTGATTCATGCCGACTAGTTTTAGTCTTGGTGATTGCAAAATTTCCTTATTTTGGACGAATCTGTGCCTTGTCGGTTCAATATCTCACTAATACTAACCAAAAAAAAGTTTTCTTAAGAAGAAAGATGGAAAAAAAACACATATAATAAAGTACACATCGATTGAGCTGATATGGAAAAAAAATATTTTTCTAGAAAGTATTAATATAGGCTCAAAAACAGGAAGAGGATCGGCTACCTTCGGGGGCAGTTCTACACTTTAGGGACACGCATCTGGATTCAACTTTTATTTATTTTTATATTTTTTTAATTTAATAGTTGATTTTTAGATAAAGTTAGTAAAATAAAAGATAAAATTAGTAAAATAGGATGCAAAATTAATAAAAATAAAGTGTAAAATTCCTGTCCAAATTGTTTAAAATTTCTGGTTCCGCCCACTAGTTATTTTTTGTTGGGGAGAGATTATTAGGAGCATTGATGCATAGTGTAGGAACAAACACCTTTGTGAGAGACACACCACTTATCCCCCACTTGTACCGCACCATTTCTTGAGCGAATTTCGATACAAGTTCCTTTCGGTCCCTTTCTCGAACCAAAAGCTCATGATACCATGTTGGGGGAAGATACTAAGAGCATCGATGTATAGTGTAGGAACAAGCACCTTTGTGAGTTGTGAGAGGCACACCATTTATCCACCTAAAGCCTTAAGGTAATAAGTGAGTGGATTCTCTCACTTATATATGTTTAAGTCTCCACATTCCTATCCAATGTGAGACTATTTTCCCACTTACTCACACTTGCTATATTATTCCAACATTTTTGTATATTAATAAATAAACGTGTTCATTCTAGAATTAGAATTTGATGCATGTCGATGATGAGAAATTTAGAATCAGTAATGTTGATCTCTGATACAGCAGTGTGAGACGGACTTGTAAAATTAACACTCAAACACTTAAGATAGTTTGAAATTCAAGTTGAATAATATAATAAGAAGTGGAGATAAGAAAGTGTATCTTGAATATCTCGTGTGATGTATTTTATACCTTGAGTCAGAATTTGGAGAGAATTGACATTAATTTGGTCTTTGGTTGATTCATAACAGTTGTCTCAAAGGCTTGTTAGGCTGTGATGAGTCGGGGAAGTCTTAGCAGACGTGGTCGGCCTATGAGGGTTTCGTTCGCCTTGAGTCAGAAGTAAAAACGGTTATGGTGAGTTGCAAAAATAGTGAAGGGCAAGTGCATTAAATGTCTTTCCATCATTGAAATGTTCCGCTGCTCCTTTTGTGACGCGTGATTTGAGGTGACTAGTCAAGACATGACATTGCTTACAATTCACTTGAGTTTGTTTATGTATTCAAGGAAAAATCCAGTCAATGATTTTGTAACTTTCGTTTTCGTTGATTTGGTCAATAGTTTTTCTTCACCTATATATGTGAATTTTTAGCATTGATGAAACTTTTTGCAATCCTTAAGAGTTAGGTTATATTTGAAAATGTCTCCCTCTCTTCCTTTTCAAGACTATTTACTAGAGTAGTTATAGTTCCTTGCTCAAAGCCTCCATTTCCCCCCCTTATATTGTTTGTTCAATCAGCTTCTCCTTACAAGTTACCATATTTACCTCAAGCTTTTAATACCTTCAACATTTTCTTTATTTCAATCAATATGAGTAATAAGTATATTAGAATGGCTAGTTATTATGAGAGTGACATGTATCTCGTTGTGAGAACGGGAATATCTCCTAGTTCAAACCCTTCCCACTTCGTCTATGATCGTCTGGGTCCTGAGGTCATATATATAACTGATGATTTTAATTCATAAAGGGTTTTTGTTGGTTCTCAAGATGAGGGAGCTTCCTTTAGGATTCTTCTTTTGATGCTTTCTTTTCTAATAACGACGCTGAAGAGGATCATGATGTTGTTTCCATAACCCCTTTGTCTCAGGATGCAGGACCATTGGGTTCTCTCGCCATGTCAATTTTGAAACGGCATGCTACTCGCTTAAGGAGAGAACATGTTATGGATTATATTCAGGTTCATCGAAGAACCTACAATCAAGAACCCAATGATGCTAACATTAAGGCCCAATTAAAATGCAAGGGTCGACCAAAGGGAGTATCTTGGTTGAAACCTTCCAAGCATTTTAAGTTTGATGAGTTATCCCTGAAAAGGGTTACGTTGGTGGAGTCGTTTGACCTGATCAGATATAACTAGGTGGCCGCAAAATAATAGAGACCCCATATGTCTTAAGTACTGAAGCGGCCATAGACACAACCAACATCGTGGTTGGTTGCCCTTCTGATTGGTCGATCCTTCATGTGGACTAGTTAAAAATGATACACATTCCCTTTGACAAGTGTTCATTTCCATTTTATGAGTGTTTGTTCACTAGGATAGGTCTGTGTTTTTGCAGTAAAGTAGCTAGCAAAAGTAAGTATTTTGTTTTATCCTCTTCACACATTAGTGCGATATCAAATGTCATTCAACAACCACTATGATTTTAAGCTTGAGTTTGCAAGAAGTTTGAAAGTTTAAAGTAGAAAAATGTAAAATGAATGAATAAAATATAAATAAAGTTTTAGAGATAGATATGAGAACTTATCAGGATTGGATTTCATCCACCGATAGAGTATACAATTTACTAATCAATATACACAATCTAAACATTCATCAATATCATCATATATCACTCACAAAAGAGTTTATGTCTAAACTTCTTATGAGATCAATCATCAACACAGCTTATGTCTAACTGGTCTTACGGGTTCTATTATATTATTTAATCAACGATCTCTTAGCCTATAAAATAATATGGGGCATTAAGAGTCGATACTTTCGGGGAATGTTAAACCTAAATCTATGTCTAGCATTTAGAATCTAACAGGTGTGTTGGCTCCTAAATTCGACACCCGCGTTCTATTATCATATAGATCATTAATTATAAGTTAGAAGAGTTTCCTGCACAAGAAGGCTTCGATCAGCTGATCACATCGAAGGCTTATCAAAGAATGACAAGATACTTAGAGAAATTTCTCTAAGTTGGAATCATGTTGTTTTCAACGTCGAACGAGCAACCTTTCGACCAAGGTCCCTGATGCCCAAGATCAAACGGTTTGAATTTAGAATTGTTGGAGGGAAAATGGTTCCCAGCAGTTACCAAGTGCAACGTGGCGTGGAAGTAGGCGTCGAGGGTTGTGAACGCGCCATGTGGTGTCACCTCGAAGCGATGTAACTGCCCAACAGTTACTTAGGATTTTTAGTATAAATACTAAGTGTTCACGTAGTTATTAAGGGTGTTCATCATTGTATACAAGTCACTCATTTCGATTCGAGTACCCAGCGTGAGAGAAAGAATCATTGAGAATGTATGTGTGAAACACCATTTACCTTAATAGAAATCTTTTACATTCAAGCAATTTATCGCTTTCACTTATTTATCTCAGTCGAAGTCATTTATTTAACAAGACTTTAATGCTTTTATTTACTTTATCAAGCTTTTCTCCATGCAATTTACTTAAAGTGTCTCTACCTTACTTGCGTTAATCACCATTAGGATTAGTCGAAACTCTCTATTTTAAAGCATTTAAACTCTCTAAAATCAGCCATGTCTTAGGATCAATCTGATCGATCCTGCGAGTCACCAAATAAGTCACCTTTTGGAAGATCAACGGTTGTTTACCATTTTTCACGGTAAACAAATTGGCACACCTGATGGAACCTTGTGTTGATTTTACGAGTTTAATCATTTTTTATAAAATATACTCCTTTTTCGAGAGTATTGCATGTTATTGAGAAGTGGTAGAATATACACCAACGAAACCAATACTAGGAGAAGAAGTAGAGAAATGGCGAATCCGCCAAACAATGGAGAAAACCCACAAACAAACGTGGGAGCGACGGTTATCCCAACCGTAAGCGAAGTGGTAACCGCTGGTTCAATGCCAGCAGTAACGGTTGCACAAACGGGGCCAATACCTTCATTTACAGGCCCCATAATGCCTTTGGGAACTCCCCCACCAAGGGGAAACCAAGGAACCAGACCATATGTTCCCCCAGGTTTTTCGACAGTCTGGATAAATCGAGAACCACCCTACGGCATGCCAACTTCTGAATTGACTAGCCTGACAAACGCTGCGTCCACCTTTTCAGAACCTTTAGTGAGCGCCTCTTCGCCACTCCAAGGCTCTGGAGTTGGTATGGCGAACATGGGTAGGAACCAACTCTTAGGAGGAACGTCCCACGTACTGCCTGGCCTTACGAATGCCTCGACAGCAGTCTTGAGGCAACAAATGGACGAAAGCAACCACGACATGGTTCAAATGTTGGCGCAAACTTTAAGTACAGTGCTAAATCCTCTAATACAGAATACCACCCAGTCGAATCAGCAAATGACAGTGCAAATGTCGCGTCTGGCTGACTTTTTTGGGGTACCCCAACCCATTCGACAGCCCCAAAGGGCACAGATAAGGGGAAACCAAGGAATACTTCTAGAGGAAGAAACCACTATTAACCAAGTCCAGCAGCCTGTCGAAGAGAACCTTAGGGTACAAATGGAACA